TTTTTAAATACAAGTTTTGTGTCAGCAGATCTAAGTGGTGGCAATGGTCACCGTATCCACTGTTAGCGTAACACACCCGCTTTAAGGACACTGACTGCTATTCAATCTATAACAGTGAAAAAAGTGTTTTTTGTTTTTAAATACAAGCTTGTGTCACCAGATCTAAGTGGTGGCAATGGTCACCGTATCCACTGTTAGCGTAACACACCCGCTTTAAGGACACTGACTGCTATTCAATATATAACAGTGAAAAAAGTGGTTGTTTTTTTAAAAATACAAGCTTTGTGTCACCAGATCTAAGTGGTGGCAATAGTCACCGTATCCACTGTTAGCGTAACACACCCGCTTTAAGGACACTGACTGCTATTCAATCTATAACAGTGAAAAAAGTGTTTTTTGTTTTTAAATACAGCTTTGTGTCACCAGATCTAAGTGGTGGCACTGGTCACCGTATCCACTGTTAGCGTAACACACCCGCTTTAAGGACACTGACTGCTATTCAATCTATAACAGTGAAAAAAGTGTTTTTTGTTTTTAAATAAAAACTTTGTGTCACCAGATCTAAGTGGTGGCACTGGTCACCGTATCCACTGTTAGCGTAACACACCAGCTTTAAGGACACTGACTGCTATTCAATCTATAACAGTGAAAACAGTGTTTTTTGTTTTTAAATACAAGCTTTGTGTCACCAGATCTAAGTGGTGGCACTGACTGGGGAAATGGGCACAGTATGCACCGTGAGCCTGACACAGAAGCTGGCAGCAGTGGCAGACAACTGACTGCTATTCAATCTTTAACAATGAAAAAAGTGTGTGTTTTTTTAAATCCAAGCTTTGTGTCACCAGATCTAAGTGGTGGCAATGGGCACAGTATGCACTGTGAGCCTGACACAGAAGCTGGCAGCAGTGGCAGACAACTGACTGCTATTCAATCTATAACAGTGAAAAAAGTTTTTTGTTTTTAAATCCAAGCTATTGTGACACCAGATGTAATTGGTGGCACTGACTGGGGAAATGGGCACTGTGAGCCTGACACAGAAGCTGGCAGCAGTGGCAGACAACTAAGTGCATTTACATTACATAGAAAAAAAAAATAAAAAAAAAAAGCATACCCTTATCCCTAACCTAGCTATGCTTTTCCTCTATCTTATGAACAGCAGCTACACTTTCCCTCCTCTTACTAAGCATGCAGCTTGAGAATGAATCTAAAATGGATGCTGTCCAGTAGGTGGGAGGGTCTGCTAGGGAGGGTGTGCTGCTAATTGGCTGGAATGTGTCTGCTGACTGTGAGGTACAGGGTCAAAGTTTACTCAATGATGACGAATAGGGGGCGGGTCGAACCGCGCATATGTTCGCCCGCCGTGGCAAACGCGAACATGCTATGTTCGCCGGGAAACGTTCGCCAGCGAACCGTTCGGTACATCACTATCCATGAGATCTTTAGAGGTAATCCAATCCTTTTGCTTATTCATGGGATAATAGAGGAGATTGATTCCATCTTAAAGGATAGATTTTTTTTTTTTAAATTCCTGCAAAAAAGTAAGAATGAAAACTCAGAATGGACAAAAGCTTAGAGAGATTTAATATCTTGCCTTTCACTACATCCCCGCTCAGGTCTCAAAATAGTTTTAGCTCATCTTGTGCCGTTACAGAGAGAACATATCTGAAGCATATCAAACTGGTCCCACCAGTATGGGCAGTCCAGA